ATTATTGGGTCTGCTTTTACTACTTTCGTCTTAACAGTTTCCGTTGTGCCAGGGTTTTCTCAACATATTTTTCTTTTTCGGTGACTAACGGAGACTGCCCGACCGCCTAGGGATGGGGTGCCTGACAGGCTGTACCCCAAGCCCACCTAATTTATTATTTATTTTCAGCACTTGTACATACATGCATAGGGTTGGGGGGACTTAGAGCATTGGTGGTGGATGCTCCAAGTCAGGAGGGTTGACTTGTCAATTTCTCTCTCTCTGCTTTTGGGCCATTTCTCTTTTTCCTTTTTTCTTCAATCTGATTTCTGTCCTTTGGCACCAATACAGAGTCCCTTCAAATCCATCTGGCTCGCGACGATGAGGGTAGCGAGAGGTGGTATGCACCCAGGTGAGTACATGGTCCCTTCGGGGGCTTCTCTTAAGGGGCCGCGGGTGGGGAAAGCAGCTGGCCCCACCAGCGACTGTGTGACATTGCCGGCTCTGTGTTGGAGTGAGGATCACAGGCACTCGCCCGCCGCGACAACAGTGGTGGTGGTGGCGACGACGACAGCGTCGTCGTCCCCAACCTTCCCGTCCCCACGAGGGTGTAGGTGGCTGCGCTCGGTGCAGCCCCCAACACCTGAGAGTTCAATCTCCGAGTGCCTTCCTTGGTGCTATTGCTGTGAGAGTGAGATGTGTGAGTATGAGTGCGATGCGATAAAGCCCGTTGGTCGAGTGATCTTGCTGATGCAGCCTGGTGGGGTGTGTGTACAATTGCAGGTGTTCCGCGTGCGAGTTCCCTGCTGGCGACCTTCCGACCCCCACATAGTTGACTCCCTTCTCTCTCTCCCCCCCATCGCTGGGGACGACGAGGGCTCCTGCAGCACCATCCTCGACGAGGGTGCTAGGTCGCACCCTGTCCGTCCCGTCGCTATTAACCACTCCTGTTGTATTTGAGATTAGGTTCCTGAGATAAAAACCCCTGTTTCCCTCTTCTCTCTCTTTATTCTGCGGTTTGTGTTGCGCCCTCAGGAGTGCCCTTCTGTTTCCCCTCACATCAGCCCGCAGCCACGCGAGTAATCGGTGCTCCAGCACCAATCCTTCAGAGGATTGTCCCTCTGAATGTTCATTCTTTGTGTTTGAGACCCCTGTTAGACAGACCAGTAGGGATACTTCCTGGACTAGGCAAGTAGTAGGGTTGAAACACCCCCTAGACAACAGCCCAATAAAGTTAGTTTAGCCTATTATTTGCTTTCCCTCACTCTAGGGCCCAGATCCCAGGGTCAAAGGAGTGAGTATAGTCTCACAAATGTGGGAGTCCTAATATTGAGTTCAGCTGTGGTTGCTCCATCACTAGACACTACTAAAAGAGTGCTGAGCAAGAATGAGGGAAACAGGGGAAATTCTGCAGATAGGGTCTCTCAATCACAAGGCTGTGGGTTCGACCCCCACATCAGGCGCTCCCTTGTGCATCTTTGGACCCATCAGCACTCTTTGCTATGCTACCTTTCTGGCCAGAATATTGAAAACATTGTCCTTTTCACCCAAGTTCAACCACACCACAGAAAAGCTGTGTTCTGATTGAAGAGGGTGCTGAGGCGGCGTGGTTGCTCACCGGCCCCTCCCTCCACTTAAGAATGTGCCTTGTCACACTTAAGGTTTCAAATTAATACATACCGTGATATTTTCTAATTAATTGTTTAACAAACTTTGCATCTAGAAAGTGGCTGGTTCTCTTTTTGATAAATTTTTTTGGACAAGGAGCTTTAACTTTAATTACTATATTCAAAAGTGATTTATCAATGATATGTATGGGTTTGAAACCTTAGTCACACTTACAAAAATTCTGTGCAGTTCTACCTACGACAAAAATTTTGCACACTTTGGCTGGCATATGGGTGGTGTCAGTCAGTTTCGTGCAAAAATGCATAATACTGCAATACGTAGGAATGTTGAATATTGCTGTTTCCATTGAAAAGTCATTGTTGCAATGAAAGAAAAACATTGCCACAAACCAGAGTCAGACCGCCCAACAGGGTGGTAAAATGGGGGCTGCATTTATCTGTTTCAAGATACCTTGAAAAGTTGGTGAAAAGTTTGGAGGCCGCACACAACTGACCAGAAAGAGGAAAAAAGGGAAAAAAAAGGAAGACAGTTTTTTCGTTTCTGTACAAATTTATGGTAAAACAGGAAAGGCGATGAATCGTTCCCAATAAAAATGGAAAGCATTTGGGGAAAGAGTCTGGACCGACTATGCAAATTTCCCCCTACCCCCCCTCCCAACTGTCGGATCACTTCATTGTGAGAGGACATTACCTAGTGCAACAGCAATTCCATGTTGATTTGGTGCTGCTCTATGGGGAAAACCTTGCCACAGGATGAATTCAAAATGTCCAAAAATTAGTGGAAAGAATAAGACAAGCCCAGGAAGAACTGCCACTTAGCTGCTTGCTTTGGGAAAGCAGACACCTTTTGACCAACGGTGACAAGTGTTGGTGGAATCTTAACCATTAGACGACCTAGGATCTATGCGAAGCTCTTTCGTTTTAATCTTTGACCCTCCAAAATGACAAACGCCCTGACTTTTTGATGATGTGGGTGTGGCAGGAATGTGTGGCAGAAAAAAGAGGTTACTAGTTTTTCTCTTTCTCTCCAAGTTGGGGAGATTATCCATAACAGAGTTTTTCTCTTTTCTCTCCAAGTTGGGGAGAAGGACTACCAACAAGCACACATCTCCACTTCATTCACTCCTTCCACTTGCCACTCAGAGTAGACTGTTTACACATGTGATAAAGCCTGTTGGTCAAGTCGAGTGGATGTGGCTGTGGGCAGTTGGGTGTGGTGCATTCTTGATTGCTTGTGTTTCCATGCACAAGTTCCCAGCTGGTGGCCTTCCAATCCCTACATGGTCTGCTCACTTCTCTCTTTCCCCCCCTTGTCACTGGGGACAACAACTAGTGAGTGCAGCAGTCTATCAAGATTCTCCACCTGAGTGGCTTCACACCATCCAAGTCCACAGGGTGGAATTAGAGGCACAGGGGGCTTCCGGGACTTGAACCCAGGACCTCCCCCACCCTAAAAAGGGATCATACCCCTAGACCAAAGCCCCATGCTTTTTTCAGAAGTGCCTCGAACTCTCCACCGCAACCTAGAAACTGGGTACTTGACCGTCAATTGAGGCTTACACCATACCCACAGGCCATGAAAAGTCTCACAATCTGCCCATTGCAGACAGAGTGGCACAAGCGTGCCAGGGGTCAAACCTGGAATCTCTTGATTCGTAGTCAAGCGCGGGTAACCATTTTGCCACACGCCCACATTAGCGCCTTTGGCTTGTATGCTTCCATTGCTATCTTAGGACTTCCAAACGCATGACTCTTTAAGTCAAATCAACCTCTCAGCGCTAAAATGCAATCACAGTTACCCCAATCCCATTCCCAAGATCTTCTGCAGTATGAAATACAGAGCCCCTGCTGCATCAGGTCCAGAGAAGCATAATCCAAGATCCAGATCAAAGTGGAATATCTGTATAATCTTTAAAACACAGGCACATACAGATGAGGCAGATATGAGCCTGTTTTTTTTTTTCTACTCAGATATGGGAGGATTCCCAGGCAAAATGGATATGGCTAGTCAAAGCTGCTTTTACTGATTGCGCTCGCAATTGGATTTTGAAGATCTTCATGAGGTTGGTGTTACTGCGCTGACAGTGATTGTTGTGTCTGATCACATAGTTTGCCTTTGTTTACACACCTGTGTTGTTTGCTTATTCCTTCAGTCAAGCTGCTTTTAAATATTCTTGTGGCTGGTAGAGTTTGATGCATCATTGGCTGCAGCCATCTTGCAGAGATGCGTTGCGCAAGTGCTGCAACTGATCCACACACCAATCAAATTTCTTGTAAGCAAAGGACACTGGTGGGGCCATGGAATGAGGGCTCCTTCTGGGACCCTGGTGTTCTTCCAGCAACACTGCAAAGAAACTTTTTCTCCAGTACCTATAAGTAGATTTAGTGATGAATGTAAAACGACATCAACACATCCAGCGCAACAGTGGTTCAGTGGTAGAATTATCGCCTGCCACCCGGTAGACCTGGGTCCGATTCCCGGCTGTTGCAAGGTGGTGCTGCAAGCTCCTGCGGTAGCTGTAAACTGTGAATTACATTGGACGTGTCCTTGCAAACTTTTCTCGTTTTTTTATTTCTCCACTCCTCTCACGTTTCCATCAAAAGCAAGAAAAGGACCAATCACCAAAGAAGTCCAACACGTGACTCCCTTGTCCTCCCTGGTGTTTGGTGCAGTGTGGTGCCACTGCTGCTGTGCTATATTTGTTGGGTCTCTGAAGGAAGGGTCAAGGGAAAAGAGAATCAGTGACCCCACTCCATTCGTTTTTCATGGCTGGTGCGCACTGTGCAGTGGGAACCCCAATTCACTCATGTTTCACAGCAGCCTCTCCTCCCCAAAGGTGTGGGTGCCTGGGCAAAGTGTGGCTGTGTCTTGGCTACAGAACGAAAATGTGGCAGTCGAGAAACTGTGAGAGATTGGCTTAGCAGGCCACTGGTAGACTGGCCTGCAGGAGCTGCCACAGCGCTGATGCAGAAGCAGCCAAAGCGGCAAGGTTTCTGATACCATGAGATCTTCTCTATTTCTCATTGTTGATGAAAGAGGTTGCAGTGTTGGGGAAAAAAAAGGGAAAGGAAAAGCATTTGTAAGGACAAAAAAGGAAGTGTAATCCTCTTCTACAGCAGGGGAATTTGCTCAGCCATACCATTGTTCTGAATCGCAGGAATAGTGCCTGCATAACTTAATCTCCCTCTTTTACAATACTGGCAGTGGCAAGCCCTGGAGTTCCTGGAGTATCCAAGGCTCAAGCTAGTACACGTGCCAGCACTGCTGTACAGCAACTGGGCTAAAGCAGGTTGCCCTTGAAAATTGCCCCTCAGCATCATCTGAGGATCACTTTGGAGGACAAAATTGCAAGCCATCCAGTTGCGTGCTCGCCACAGAAACTCTCAACTCTACTCCCATTCCGGGATTTGAACCCCGGGTCTACCCCGTGACAGGGGGTGATACTAGCCACTATACTAACTGGGACTGCACTATTCCCTCACACTTGTATTTACAATTTCTATAGAGATTTTAGGATCTCAGGTTTCTGTAAAATTTTTGGCATCAAGAGCTGAAGCCCTTGTTGCCAATAGCCCACTTCATGCCCTGTTGGAAATTACTTCTTGATTGACTGGCTCCACTTATCATGTGAGGTCCCTTTCAAGGTGCTGGAACCAAAAATCCGAAACAAAGGATATCTGTAATGCTCCAGTGGTGTCAGGAACAGGGCAGGACAGGACAAGGCAGACAAGGAACTGAGAGGAGTGATGATTGTATTGGAAACAATAATTCACTTGAGGGATGGGACAGGTCCCCCATCCCCCTTTTATACCTTTTGAGAGTGTTCCTTGTCAAGACTCAAAGAAAGTTCCAGAAAGAGCAATTAGTAATACAATGATACCAATGATACCAATGACAACAAGACAAGTCAGGAAAGCAAAGAAGGTTCCAGAAGGTTCCACAAGGTTCCATGAAGGAATGTTCTAGAAGGTTCCAGAAGGTTCCAGAAGGTTCCATGAAGGAATGTTCTAGAAGGTTCCAGAGGTTTCCAGAGGGTGATTCATAACATCATCTCCCCCTTTTAGGCCTCTTCTGCAACTTGGTGGGGTACCTGGTCTTGAACTTGAGCAGAAGGTCTTGGCAGTGAGTGAGGTTTGACTCAGGTTCCCAGGTGTTGTCAGCATCTGAGTAACCTTTCCACTTAACAAGGAACTTGAGTGTCCTTCCAAACCACTTAGCATCCAAGATTTGTTCAACCTCAAATTCCTCTTCACCTTCCACCTCAACTGGAGGAGGAGGAGGAACAACTCTGCCTGGAATGGAATTGGCCACAAACTTCTCCAAAAGGCTGACATGGAAAACTGGGTGGATCTTCATGGATGCAGGGAGATCCAGCTTGAAGGTGACTGGATTGATTTGCTCCAAGATCTTGAAAGGTCCCAACTTGAGGTTGTCTAGCTTGGGACTTGGTCTTTTGGTCTGCAAGTTCTTCCTTATGCCCGGCCAGTAAAAGTCTCTGGAAACAAGCTCATATGTCTTGTGCTCTCCTGGGTGTCCAGCTGTTGCTGCATCATGCCTTGTCTTGAGTATCTCAAGTTTTTCCTCTTCTTGGCTGATTTGAATCTTGTGAGGCTTGGGGTCCTTGGAAATAGCATAGGCCCACACACTGTCAGGAAGCAAGGAAAGGTGTGTCTTGGATGGTGGGGTGAAACCATCTCCCCCTTCAGGTGCAAGGTCTGTCCTTCTGCGCTCATCAGCGGTGGGGCATGAAATCTTGACTGGGAACTGTGATTCTTGAATCTTTGACTGAGGGTTTTGCTCTTGGCAAAGACTGTGAGCTGTGGAGCTTGAATCTTGAATTTGGACTGTGAACTGTGGTACTTGAAGCTTTGACTGTGGGTTCTGTGAACTACAGACTTGGCCATGACTGTGAGCTCTATGAGCTGTACTGGAATCTTGACTATGAACTGTGAACTGTGAAACTTGAATCTTGGCTCGGATCTGTGAGCTGCAGGCTGATACTGGAGCTGTCATTTGTCGTTGACCTTGGATACTAGGCTGAGAACCTTGAATCAAGGGCTTGAGAGCATGAGACTTGGGGGCTTGACTTGAGTTTTGGGTGACTGTTCCAATTGGTGGAGGTTGGACTTGACCAGTGACCCAATCAATGGCAGGGTTCTGGGCTTGCAGCCATGGTAATCCCAGGATGACAGAGAATGTGGGTGAGCCAAGATCCAATACTTCCAGATTGACCATGGATGGTGGAAAGTCTTGGATGTGGAGGTTTAGCTTGGTTTCATGGCTGATTTCCTTGAACAGAGCATGATTGGCAAAGTGGACCTTGAGGGGTGTGGATTTCTTGATTGTAGGAATGGCACAAGACTTGGCAAGGGTGGCATCAATGATGTTGCAGGATGATCCAGAGTCTATAAGGGCCTTGGTTGTGATGGTTGACTTGGGTGAGAGTTGAATCTTGACATCCATGGTGAGTTGGTGGGGCTTGGAATCTGAGGTGTTTGTGGTGCTGGTGGTGGTGATGAAACAGGGGCAGCTTGGAGGAGGGTCCAGGGAATTGCCCCTCAGTGAGCCTGGACCTGGGAGTTTGGGTGCTTCTTCCTTGGGCAGTCCTTGACAGCATGCTCCTTGGAGCCACAGTAAAAACACAGTCCCTGCTGGGCCCTCCTTGTTTTCTCCTCTTGGCTCAGAGGACCCTTAGGAAGTGTCTCAACTGCATCCACTTGCATGGGTTCAGGAACTGTAAGAGCTTGAGGAACTGGGGTAGGTCTTGATGTAGTTCCTACTTGTCTTTGCTTCAGCCTCTTGGAGTAGAGTCTGTTGTCAATCTTGATGGCAAGGAGAATGTACTCTTCCAAGGTCTCAGGGATGTGCAGAGACTGGGAGAGCATGTCTTGGATAGACTCATGGAGACCATCATGGTACAGCTCCATCAGAGCTGCATCATTGTATCCAGAGTCTCTGGCTAGTTGCTTGAATTGGTTGGTGTAGGCCACACAAGATTGCTTTCCTTGCTTGATATGCTTGAGCTTGGATCTTGCTGTCCAAGATGCGTAGGGGTCACCAAAGGTAGCTTCCAGCCCCTCCCAGAGCTCTTGCAGGGTGGTGGGTGTGCTTGGGAGAGATCTGTACCATGATTGAGCTTGACCAGACAGGAGGGTGCTTGTGAAAAGAACCTTGACTTGCTCACTTGGAAATCTTGAAGGTTGGAGAAGGATGACATTCTCCACAGTGGCCATGAAGTTCCTAAGGTCTTTGGCCAGCCCAGTGAACTTGTCAGGGCTGGGAACCTTGGGCTCTCTTGCTTGGTTGGCTTGGGGCAGGGGAAGAGCTTGATGTTCTTTTTGGTGAAGTTGTTGTTGAAGCTGGTGCTGCTGGTGAAGGACTTGTTCTTGAAGTTGGTGTGTCTGTCTTGAAAGGGCTTGCAATTGGTCCATCAAGGCTTGGAAGGCAGTTGCATCAGGGAAGATGTTGTTTGGGTCAGACATGATGGCAGAGAGTAGTAGGAGAGGGTGAAGTGAATTATGATGTCAGGAACAGGGCAGGACAGGACAAGGCAGACAAGGAACTGAGAGGAGTGATGATTGTATTGGAAACAATAATTCACTTGAGGGATGGGACAGGTCCCCCATCCCCCTTTTATACCTTTTGAGAGTGTTCCTTGTCAAGACTCAAAGAAAGTTCCAGAAAGAGCAATTAGTAATACAATGATACCAATGATACCAATGACAACAAGACAAGTCAGGAAAGCAAAGAAGGTTCCAGAAGGTTCCACAAGGTTCCATGAAGGAATGTTCTAGAAGGTTCCAGAAGGTTCCAGAAGGTTCCATGAAGGAATGTTCTAGAAGGTTCCAGAGGTTTCCAGAGGGTGATTCATAACAAGTGGCGCTATGGCACCCATCATTTGGGTGTGACAGATATGTGGTACAAGAAGAATCCAGTGTTTGTCTCATGATCAGTTTAGGATACTGATATCCCTGCACACACCATGCTTATCAGCTCTGTTGACCTTTAGGGTTGATTCTGCAAAAGCAGAAACAAGGTATCTATCATGGAAAACCATTGTGCAGTTTGCTGAAATTTGTTTTGTGTTGCCAACACCCACACAGCCAAAACCAAGAACACCTTTGGGCTGGCCTTTTCATGTTGGGCAGAACTGACTGGTTAGCAGCAAGAGGCACAGGACAGACCTGAACCTATTGTGCCTGTCAGTTATTGTGATACACTGGCTTGCACTGTTGACAAAGACTCCGAGTATAGTGGAGCAGAAACCCAGCAAAAACAGTTTTCCACCTCCTCCACTCAAGCAGACAATGTCCCTGCTATGTAAGAACGTAAGACACAAATGCATTGGTTGGATAAGGGTCAACATAGCATTGCAAAAGCGCAATCTCCGCAGCACCTACTGACTACTGATGGTTGTCAGCATGGACACCCTTAGCAACGTTGAATCAATTCCGTGATGTTATCACTCCACTGGTTGCTCTGAATTGGATTTTTTTTTCAGGATTATATCAGGAAATGGACTCTTTTGACCTAACCTAACTAAGCCCCCAAGCCTTAAACTGCACACCTTTGTTGTCAACTGCATGACCATTCTTGGCATTCGACGTATATCCAGCTGCACAGCCAATTGCTACGGCCCATGCCCTCCCCCTTACCTTATCTTGGACTGCCTTCAGACACTGAGTATTGTCACTGGTACTTGTGCAATAACCTCGCAAGTCGGAGGACAAGTTTGCAGCCCATCTGCAAGCTCCGACCATAGCTCTGCGCATGACTGTAATGGTTTCTGCCTGGTGCCATCATGAGGTCCCCAGTTCGAACCTGCGTTATTTTGCGTGGTGGTGCCAACTGCTGATAATCTCTTCTTTTGCATCAGCAAGCAGTCCCCATGCTTGTCTGTGGTTGAACCTTCATTGCCCAGGAGAAAGGCTTCAGCATGGGCCACAGCTCAAATACTCTTACAACTACTGGGGCTTGGCAGTGTTCAATGTTGCAATTGTTTCCCACTTTTTGGTCTCCTTCAAGTAGCTGAGGCCAGTTTCCTGTTGGAAACATAACTGGCGCTGGTCAGTGGTACTAGAAGTCAAAGACTGCTAGTTTATTGATCCAGTTTTCTACCTTCACATTCTGCATCCAACTGTGACAAAATGTGATGAGAGGATTGCAAACTGTTGCCTAAAAGACTCACTGCTAATAGAGAGGCCAGCTTCACCCAAACTAAGCCTCCACTCTCCTGTAAAGGCTGCAGTCTGCTTATCTCAGATAAATTGGTTTCTTTGCAGTACTAACTCTGCCAAAAAATCGTAAAATCTGGCCAAAGTTGGCATAAAATGGGCACTGAAATACCACATTGTGTGCCTACAGTAAAACCCAACAAATTTTTTTGGAAAACTTAAGAAATATCCAAGATCATCTGAAATATCCAACAAGAAGCAGATAATTAGGATACTTTGCCTTTTCCTGAT